TTGGAAAAGACTTTCTTTGATTTTCTGACTTCCTGTCCAAAGGCCAAGTTAATCTTTGGGATGTTTTAATGACACTGATTTTGGTTTTAACTGCAATGATTTTACAGCTACGTTTTGCATTTTGTTTTACTGATGTAAGCTGCCTTGAATGCGTCCTTGAGCCGGAAAGTGGGCACAAAGCTAATAACAGATGTAGATCAAAGTTATTATATGCACGATTCATTGTGCAACATTTTTGTTATGTGTATTGTTTATGTAAGCTTCTCTATATAATTGTTTATAGCAAAATAGAAGCACGGTCAATATGATTATGGATTGTGCTTCTGCCAACCCTCAACCTTCTCTTTGAATGCCACCACCACCACCACTGGACAAGGAATGGCCCTTACCGGTGCCCACTGCTAACAGCAGGGCAGTGCCAGATGCTCCCCATTTTGCCACACAGGTTCCACCCAGCTGGCTGGATCTGGGCTCTGGGAATGAAGTTTGCCATCGAAGAAATCAACAACTCCACAACGCTGCTGCCGGGGATCGTGCTGGGCTATGACATTTACGACAACTGCATGGCACCCAGGCTGACACTTCAACCCAGCCTGCTGTTTCTCGCCAAAGCTGGCACTAGCAGCCTCGGGGTCCTGTGTGACTACGCAGGCTACCAAACGCGTGTGATGGCTGTCGTAGGGCCTCACAGCTCAGAGCTCTGCACGGTGACGGCCAGGCTGTTTAGCCTCTTTCTGATGCCACAGGTAATCGGGGTCTCCATAAGCATCTTATAAGGGTCTCTTGGGGGAGCATTAGGAAATAAGGAGTCAGCCTAAGAACTCTGAATCCACTGAATCTGAATTCATGCAAAACTTAAACTGAGGACAAGTTCATTTTTGTCCTAGGAATATTGTATAGCACCTATCCAAACATGAAATGCAGTCTTTGATCCTGAAAATTCAGTGGTCTCCTTGCACTAACAGGTTTTCTTGTTAGAAGCAAACGGGTTGCAAGCAAGAAGGGGCCGATAACTGGATATTGACTATTCTTAATGGAAGTTAAACTGGTCGGTATTGTTCACCCTGTGACTTTGACAGTTTTTATTACCTTCCTCTCCCTCATCCAAGAATTCTTTTAAACTGGCATAGAACCATATCCAAGTCTTTATAAAAGTCAACCTGGAGAAGTGTTTGCCTTACAGATCACTAGAAACAGAAATGAGCGAGACGTGATTAAATTAAAAAAAAAATAAGCATACAAAAATTAAAACATTCAATTGCATTGAAAAAATTAAATTAAAAACTGACCTGGGCCATTTTGTGCATTTAAATCACCCTCTTTAATTAAATGCTAACAAACCCAAAATGGCCCAGGTCAGTATTACAGCCAGCTTCAGCCTAAGCAGGATCAGACCCAGCTAGTTTATGGATAAGGGACCACCAGGAAATGTTAGGAATCTAAGCTAGACTGAGCAGCTGAAAAATAGCCCCCCAAAAGGCAAGGGCCAATCACTTTGGTATTGTTGGCAGGAGAACTTCATGTCCCTATCTGTGAAATCCTCAGAAATGAAGCTCAATGCAAGGATGTCCTTAGATTTTTAAAAGGGGAGGAGTTTGAATAAAAAATTAAACACAGACTCTAGTATTATGTAGCTGGGCATCTGCTTAGATGCACCAATGATCTGGGATAAGGC